TTAAATGGAAGATATTTATGCCTCTCTCTTTTAAACTGTTGCAAAAGAAAATTGCATCTTCTTTTGTGATACAGCTTCTTTCTATGCAATTTAAACACACCCAGTAGATATTTAAATAGGACACAAATTCTAACACTCTAACTTCCGGGTTGGCGCCATCGCCGAATGGCGGACTCCCTCCGAGCTCCGGAGGGAGTCTGCTCGGCAGGGGCTGGGTCCTACCGCGCCGGCAACGCGGGGACCCTTAAAAACCACGGGCACGGAGTCCGTGGACATGGGTGACTCGGCTTGCACCATTAGCGCCCTCCCGACTCGTGAAGGAGCCTTTTTAAAGGCTTCGGATCGGGTGCCGGGAGCGGCGTGGTGCTTTGAGTCCTCTGCTTTCCCTGCCGAGCGCAGCCGCATGCCATTCGACGGAGAGCGCTGACTTCTTCCATTGAAAATTTGGACTATTAACAACAACCCGTGAGTAATTGGGAAACCGGGTACAAAATTTCGGATTTGGCACGAGCGGGGTGATTTAAAAAGGAAGTCAATCCCCCTACTGTAAGCATTCCAAAACAAGGACTGGGTAACCAAGGTCCAAAGGGAAGTATATTCTTGATAAAAATCATTAATTTCACGATGGGAAATTATAAGAACTGTGCTGGAGGAGAAGAGTGGAGGGTGAGAAGAAAAATGCAACCCCCCCCCCCTGGGAACCGGGGCGATTCGTGGAGCCTGGTGAAGAGAGACGGAGACTTTGACAGCTGTCAAAGTGGCTGTCAAAGTTGGAGAATATAAAGAGGACTTTGTTATGAGGACTTTGCCGGTTAATTTTGCTACAATTTGCTACAATATGGATATAAACTGTTGGAAAATAAGCAACAATTTGACTTTTGGATTAGAGGATACAAAGTTATTACAATCCCCTAGAGGGGTTTCGGGATATTACAAGAACGGTCGTAAGTGGAAAAATACTCTGGGATTCGCACAGGACTTGTTATCTTTTGGGAAAGCTGCAAAACTGAAATAGTATTTTGTCTACAGAGGTATTTACATTAAAGGAGACAATAGAATTTTCTATTGAAGAAAGGAAGGGACTGGACGTAAGTTTTTGTTCCTGAATAACAAACCTCTGCAGAGATACCAGATTTCTGAATTAGAAAGTTTTAGCAGCTGAACAGGACAAGAAACCTGAGAAAGCGAGGAAAAGAAGAACAAAGGACTGATTACGACACGGAAAGAACAACGGGAGGAGTGGTAAAGATCAAGGAAATTAAAGGCCTTTGTTAGATTGGACACTTGAAGTTACATATTACTAATAAATTAAAAGAAAACCGGCAAGATGGAATCGGGAGAAATTTGGTCATGAATTGAGACTTCCAAGCCGATAATGCATAGACTGATGGATATGGGGAATTCAAACCGGGGAAGGGGGGGGGGAGATTTGAAATCCAAAGGCTGTGTAACCATCTTTTGAATTTTTCTATATCTGTTATTTTTATTTTTTACATAACTTACGCATGTCATTTTATTTTGATTGGACGTGTTTAAAAAAGGGATTTCGTGGAAGGAACTGGGGTGGATCTTGGGAAAATCTTTTTCTTTTCTTGTTAATGATGTGGGACGGTGGTAAGATTTGTACAATTCAATTTGGATAGTGGGTTAAACAAATTAAGCTTCAAATTGGGAGTGAGAGCTTGTAGAACTAAATTAAGGAAAGGGGAATACAGTCGGGGGGGGGGGAGTCCCAGAAAGTAGGCAATGAAAGTAAGGCTTTAAATATCTTTTTTTCTTTTTCTTTTTTTCTTTGTATTTTTATATTTTTGGAAACTTTAATAAATATGATTTAAAAAAAAAAAAACAAATTCTAACACTCTAACACTTAGGGAACTTCACTGGCAGAATTTGTGCAGTGCATATAGACAAAAATATATAGCAATTAAAATGAATACAATTTACAATAGAATCACCAAATAAAATTCTAACAAAACACACACACACAACCAACATCAGAATAGCAAAACAGTGGTACAGAAATTCAGTGCACAGCAATGTAGAAGAAGGGGAGGGATCCCCCTCAACCAAAGTGTCTCTTGTCAGTCTGAAAGAACTCTAGGAGCTTAGACTATATGGAATGAATGTGCAGCAGAAAATGAAACCTAGGTGACCAAAGACATTAGCTGCCTTGCCTATTCACTGTGGAACTCATTCCATTAGAAAAGAAAAACTAAAAATAAATATTTACATTATATCCTCTCATTTCTAAATAGCTGAAAATCCTTATTAAGCTGTCCCACCTGCTGCTTACTGAAGATGTTCTCAAATATCCCTAGCCTTGGCTTAGAGAGAAAAATGACTATATGAACCTCACAACTGAATCAATCAATCTTACATCTTGTTAGAGCTACCACCACTATAAATGAAGGATTCTGTCATTCCGCCATCCACCCAAAGCTATGAATGATTTGGTTTCTGTCTGATTCTATCTTAGTCCATCAGTAGATAGGTAGATCTACTGTACAGTAATTAAAATTTTGCAATAGCCTTTTAAATATGCTGCTAGGTTTTCCTTATGAGTAATGATTTAACTATCAGTTAAATAGTTGTTATTGCTCATTTTCATGTGCAGCATTTTATTATTTGCAGAAAGGTATCAAATTGTGTATGTAAATCATAATGCTCAGGTGGCTGCATTGATTACCTAATGATCAGCATTTTTAAAAGCTTTTCAGAAGAGATTGTGTACATCAAAGAACAAAAAATTTGCCCAAAAGGAAAATTATGAGCAATTAAGTTTTGGGAATATATTTGTAAAATCAATTTATAATAATAGGTTGAAGAATTCTGCTGAAAACTGAAAAGGAAACAGAAATTATGGCAAAAACTGAAATGCAGAAGAACGGGAACATCACTGATTATGATGAAAACAAGTTGGAATAGAAGTCACTGCCTACTTACATCTCTATGCATAACGTACTCATTGTCCACGGTTAATTCAGGATTCTCACTACAGAGTATCTGTACACTATGGTATAAGCAAATTTTGGCATAGCAATGGCTACTGATGCTTCAATACAGTCCTGGTAGAGGCATGAGGAAACGGCTACATTTTCCAGCAGTACAGTGGTACCTCGGGTTAAGAACTTAATTCGTTCTGGAGGTCCGTTCTTAACCTGAAACTGTTCTTAACCTGAAGCACCACTTTAGCTAATAGGGCCTCCTGCTGCTGCCGCGACGCCGGAGCACAATTTCTATTCTCATCCTGAAGCAAAGTTCTTAACCTGAAGTACTATTTCTGGGTTAGCGGAGTCTGTAACCGGAAGCTTCTGTCACCCGAGGTACTACTGTACTGAGATGCTTCAGCCTTAGCTTGTGAACTAGTATGAACTTACTGGGAAAGAGTTATGGCTCAGTGGTGGATCATCTGCTTTGCATGCAAGAAGTCCCAGATTCAATCTTGAGGGGGCTGTGGGAGTACCCCCTACCTGAAAAAAAAATAATGAGTTAACCACAATACACCAGTGGTCTGACTCGGTATAAGACAACTTTCCTAGCTCTTTGGATTGTAGTATAAGTTGCAAAAAATGGTTGTCCTAAGGCATTGGCTGTACAGTGGCAGTAGTTGTGAAGCAACATATTTTCTTTAAAGTATTTAAAAAGTGCTATTTTACCATCTAGGAATGCAAAGAAGTGACTGTTGAATAATGCTTGACATTAGAGTGATATAGAGATGGCATTAGATCAGCTTCAGATAACTGTAATGTTTTGTGAGTGGGTGTTTAACAAAGTACACACCATTTGTTCAGATGGCGCTTAGCGGAAATAGTGAACAGCAAGATATATTTAATCTTTATTAGATGAACTAAGATTTGAATATGATCACGAGATGTCTGACACACTAATTAACTTGCCAAGCATATGGATGCCTTTTGTTATCATGCCACAATATGTTTCTGTCTAAATGAAATAGAGAGAGGGTTTTTTGTTGGGTTTCTTTTATTTAAGTTAAGTTAGGTGACAGAAATTTATAGCCTTTTGAGAGAGAAGGCCTTAGGCATCTATGGTTCCTTACATTGCTGCATGGATTGGAGATTTATTTCTGCTCAGTGAAAATTTATTGCATATATAAAAAGTGGCAACACACCAAGATCCAAGGATTTTAAGATGCCATTTCCCACACAATTTGTAGTTTTCTATTAAAGAATATTTATTCAGTATCAAATGCTAGGAGTTAAACATATACTATTTTTGAATAATGTGCACTTTGGGTTGGTTGATTAATATATTTCAAAAGATTTACTATTAGAAAATATAAGATACAAACTCCTGAAAAAGCTGTGTGTATGTGTGTTTGTTAAACTATACTTACTTTTTAAAAGTAGATAGGCCAATAATTAGTTGTCAGTTACAGCTTTTGCATAATCCTTCTTGTGTTGACTGTTTCCTACTGGGGTGGGTATTACAGTTCTGTTCTCACGGGCTGGACCGTGCTCCAGTTTTTCACATTGTTGGGTGGAATGTGATAGATAGATGATAGATAGATAGATAGATAGATAGATAGATTAAAAGCATCAAACAGTACTTCACACACAATCACTCAGGATCTTGCATTAAAATAATCTCTATGTTCCTCTGATTAATAAAACAAAGCATTTTTTAAATGTTGCAAAATGTTCTGGTTTCTGCCTTCATCAGCTACTCTGATAAAAGGAGAATGATGCAGTTTCCAAGGTGGCAGGTTGAAGACGTGCATTGTTAATATGTCCTTAGTCTCAGTCTGGAGCAATGTTTGGCTTCACTGAATAAAGCCCTTCTGAAAGCATTCCATCCTCAAAGCTTTATCACTGCTACTTTGGAAATGGCATCATTTAATCTTTATCAGAGCAGCTGATGATGACAGGAGCCCTAACCTTTTTCCACATTAAAAAAAACAAAACCCTTCTGTTTTGTCGATCACAGTAAACACATAAACACACATTCTCATATACATACAGATTTACGGTTTTCAATGTGCAGTTCCGATTGGAGGGTTTGTGGTGCTGTATCACAGTCCCGGACTTGAAAGAAGTTGGGGAGGGGAGCAAAAGAGAAGGCAGGTTTTAAAATGGCAGTTCGAAACAACAGAGGGTTGAATAAAGCAGGGCTGGAGGGACACAAATGAACTGTGGAAATATGGGGGGCTTAAAGGATCTGGGAAAGGATGGGGTTTTGGAGTGAAATGTAACGGGAGAGGCTTGGAGAAGTTGCCAAGGAGTGGGAGGTAGGCAGCATTGACAGGCAACTGAGCAGGGACAGCAGCTTCTAGTCTGTGTCTGTCTGTGGGGGGGGGACGTTCTTTGGCCAGATGCTTATAATAATAACAATAATGATTTATTATTTATCAGCCGCCCAGCAGACTGGGTTGCCCCAGCCACTCTGGGAAGCTTTCAACAAATTACAAAACCACAGTAAAACATCAGATACATTAAAAACTTCCCTATACAGGGCTGCCTTCAGACGTCTTCTAGAAGTCAGATACAGTCATACCTCGGGTTACAGATGCTTCGGGTTGCACACCACGCTGAACCCGAAAGTACCAGAGCAGGTTACTTCTGGGTTTCGGCACTCACACGTGTGCAGAACCACTGAATCGCAACTTGTGCATGCGCAAACGTGGCACTGCGGGTTGCGAACGCTGCGGGTTGCGAACGTGCCTCCCACACGGATCACATTCGCAACCCGAGCGTCCACTGTAGTTTCCTTGACATCTGACGGGGAAGTGTTCCACAGGGCAGACACAACTACCAAGAAGGCCCTCTGCTTGGTTCCCTGTAATTTCACTCTTTACAATGGGGGAAATGGCGGGTTAACATTTCAAATAAAGAGATTCCAGGTGACTAATGAGTAATTAATACTCATGATGTGTCTGTGTGTGTGTGTGTGTGTGTGTGTGTGTGTGTATGCTAAGCCTAACCTGTTATGAATATATTAAATTCCCCCCCTCAAAAAAAGGCTGCTTCAGCATCGTACTGGGCTATATCCTATTCTATGACAGCCCAACTGAGAATTACCACACTAGAATACTTGAAACAGAGAAAGGAGTGACAGAGAAAGAACATATAAGAAATAGCTGCTTTAGGGACCAAATATGATTGCATGCTTTTGCAGAAATATTTATTTATTTTTAACTCAAGGAATATGCCTTTCTTTTCGTACTATTCCACATTCTTTCTTTTATAAAAGTTCTTCTTTCTAGTAGTTGGGTATCCTTTCCGTTTCATATTAAAGGATGGTGAGATTTCTCAGGTGTTTAGATGGAATAAAAAGATATTGTGACCATACCTTCTTCTTCTTTTTTAGTACTTGGGACAAACTGGGACATCAGGTAAGCTTTCTGCACAAAATTACTACTGTGCATAAAACGACATATTCACTGTGTAGCAATAAGAACAGATTGCCTTGCTGGTGCTCTCAGAAACTCAGGCTGTTTGAGATATGCAATTTGAGCTCAATGAGAATTCAGAGTTTCCTATGAAATATTGATTGCAAAAGGTTTCTTTGGCAGAACTTTTCTATCAGCTGGTTAAAATGCTGATGAGGGTCCTCAGAGAACACAGCAATATAGCAGTAAGCGCCGTAGCTTTAGTACATGTCGAAAAACCCTGCAGGCTGCAATCCTACACACACACACACCCTACACCTGGGAGTAAAGCAGCTTACTTTTGAACAGACATGTACTGTATAGGATTGAACTGATAGTAGTCTGAAATCCAATTCTTGAATTAAAGGGTATGGGGAGCCGAAGAGATTCAGCCCCCTTATCCATCCTTGGCTACCTCACAATTGTAAGGTAAACTGAGCCCTGTGCTCCACTAAAATTCTGAAGTACTCTGAAGCAGAAAGCATGTGAGAAATTGGAGGATAGGTTTAATGTTGTCACTGTGTTTCACTGACATTTTGGTATAAAAGAGCCTCACGTTATACTTCAAGCCACCAAGAAAGCCTATGGATAAATAGTTAAGCATTTTCCCATCACAACGTCACTTCTAGTGGGAGAGTTAAGTATTGTTGCATGCCACCCCAGTCTCTGAGCGGTGCAAGATTCCAGGGGTTCCAAGCACCCTTGTGCTCTGGCACTCGCCACGGTGTCCCATTGCGCCAGAAGTGGTTTAGTCATGCTGCCCACATGACCAAGAAAGTTGTTTGTGGACAAACGGCAGCTCCCTTGGCCTGAAGCTAGATGAGCGCCATAGTCCAGTTTGACTGGACATAACTGTCCAGGGATACTTTACCTTTACCCAAGGTCTATGTTTCCTTTTGGAAAATAAGGCACAGTGGAGACTGTGGTGTCTTTATGATACATGGTTTATTTACACATATATACAACCTGAGCCAGTGATGGAGGACCTCCCATCATTACACTTCAAAAGAATCTTCCTTCTTCCATAGCTGTAGCCTTGGATCTAAATAGACCCCAGCCATGGCTCCGACTCTGTGTAGCTTGCGGCATTTAACTGAATGCCACTTTTTGTCCATCCTATATCATCCCCAACAGCAATCCTAAATTCTACTCTGTGTTTGCTGATTTAGATCTCAGGGTACAGCTCCCACCATTTGCCAGCTGGCACACTGTCTTTGCTTATGTCCCATCCCCCTGTCTTTGTTCTCTTTTAATGGCTCAGGCGATCACCTGAACACAGGAAGCTGAGACCAACTATTAAGAGTCTGATTTCCAGTTTAACTCTCCAGGAATTTAGGGAAATCTAGCACCCACAATTTATAACAGTATGTTGCTTAAGTTTCTCCCATTGAAATAAACTTGACCTAAAAGTGGATGAATCAGTTAAATACTGGGATGCCTTTATCTATTTTTTAGTGTCTGCCTGCCCCTTCCCTCTCTTTCCCTGTTTTAGGTGATAAAATCTTAACAGGATTTTATTGGGCAGTACGCAACGACATGGTTGCAAGTGTTCTGAAGGCTGCATAATTAGGGTACTTGTCAAATATGTATTATAGAACCTGACAGTGAACACAGAGAACATCTTGGTTTGTGGCTTTTTAAAGAGCACAGTCTATAGGAATACTTATTTTATACTGCTGCTAGGCTTCTGGCTAAGTCAAGGGTCAGCTTTCAACAGACAACAGAAGATGACCTAGAAACAACGGAGCTGCAGAGAATTATAGAGAACAAGAGACTTTGCTGTGAAATGGCAAGATGCATTTAGATAGAAGATCAGGTCAAGATAACATGTACATATATTAGCTTTGAAGAAAGTGAACTGGGGATTCAGTGGACCTTCAGCTGACATTTAGAAAAGTTCACCTGCTTCAGGAGCGATTCTTGAAAATTGTAAAGCAGAAAATAGATAGCTAGAGTATCCAGCTGGCACGCTTAGATGAAATGAGGATATGGTTCTTACATTTGGAAGCAAGGTTTCTGTGATAAAATAGTGATTCAATTTTGGACCCATTTTTCCCAGACTAGAGGAGAGTGCCTTCATATATGCAATTACAATGGCAGCACCCACACGCAAGAGAGAAGTGGGGGGAAACTGGGGAGAACCCCAAGGGTTTCAGAAATACAATGTAATTATGGGCGAAGCCTAGGTTGGGAAGCCCTGCAAACTTGCCCCATAACGATTCAGAATGTTGATTTGAGGAGGGGGCTGACAACACATAGAATGAAGTAGGTGGAAAAGAAGGAAGCAGGAAGAAACACATAGAGATTAAAAGGGTACAGACAGAACAGTATCATTGCCCAGATAAGTCACTTCCTGGATCACACTCAGAAGCTGAAAAAAATCCATGAAGCAATCCAATGTAGGTAGAATTGGGCACCAGTGTGTTTAACATCTGCACCCCAACCCCAAATAGCAGCAAAGAGAATCCATGCACTTTCTCACTTCTTATCTAGTGTGAAACGTTTTTTAAAATATTCCATTTGAATGTAAATTCCAAAGCAGATGCAGTGGGTTCTCCACATTGAAGGTTTCGAGCAACTGTGATTTGGAAAGTGCTGGCTTACGACAGCTCAGCTCTGAATACAAGATCAGACCCTGAACAGCTTACAACAACCCTGCAGTGGTATCCGCTGCTTTTATCCCCGTATTGAAAGTTGGGTTGAGAGAGCAGAATGCAACAAACCTATGGGTGTGGGTGTGTTTGATTTTTCATCCATCACATTCATTCTTAGTACTTACAAACAACCTTTCAGGGCAAAGTACCCTCCACACCACAAGGCAGCTTATATAAAAAAATAATTAGATTCATACAAATACAAGACAAGTTGTCTCCATAAACATAGCAGTGGCTCTGAGCTGCAGCGGTATCTATCCAGGCACATTAGAGAGGTGCAAGAATGAGCCTTCCTCTCCCTCTTATGGCCTCAGCAATGGCAGCTGGTAGCTATGTTTGATGGGGCTCTCAGCTGGAAGCTATACAGTGGTACCTCTGGTTGCGAACGGGATCCGTTCCAGAGCCCTGTTCGCAACCTGAAAGGAATGCAACCCGCCTCTGTGCGGGTCACGACTCGATGCTTCTGTGAATGCATGTGACATCATTTTGTGTGTCTGCGCATGCGGCGAAACCCGGAAGTAACCCTTTCCAGTACTTCCGGGTCGCCGTGGGACACAACCTGAAAACACAACCTGAAGCAAATGTAACATGAGGTATGACTGTATCTAGTTCAGTGTTAGAGCCCAGTTGCAGGTTGGAGGGCTGTGCTGGCAACAGATACGTGACCAGCTGTTTTGGGACCACAATTCCCATCATCCCTGACCAGTGGTCCTGTTAGCTAGGGATGATGGGAGTTGTAGTCCCAAAACAGCTGGGGGACCAAGTTTGGCCACCACTGCAATAACCTTGCAATGTAGAATGTTGTTGATATTTTTCAAGCCTTTAAGCCAAATGCTAGGGTGGTGCACACACACTCACACCAAAGATACACTTCCAACAGTGTGCTGTGTGGCACTGGTTGTCACCTGTATTTTACAATGAAATGATATTCTAGAATTGAGGCAGCCTGTGTTGTTTTTGTTTGAAGTGTAGCTATAGCAAATAGATTGGCAGGGGAAGGTGAGGACAGGATTTTCAACCTGGGCTGCTCTGTAATCTGCCTGACTCAATGAAGCAGGTGACATGAAATCCATATATATATTTCTGGGATCAGTAAGATGGTATGGTGAAGGGTTTTCTTCCTTATTGGCATTTTACCCATATGACAGGAATGTTTGCTTATGGGACCTAGGATTTGATTCACTGTCCACTGATGCCTGTTGCAAAATGCCCCAAACTGTGATCCAGTTTTAACTGCGCCAGCAAAATTATTTCTTTCAATGACACGATCAGCAGTTGAACCACAAAGATGCCACTTGACAAACAAAAAATGATTGTATGTGTCTACGTGCACAAAGTTGCGTGCTGCTAGTGGCAATCTCACTGCTATAGTAGCAAAGCCTTTTCTAAATAACCCTGGCTGTTCCCTTGTTCTCTTGACTGACCAATATACAGTCCCATGCATCTGTCTTTGTTACAGAATTACCGGTAAGTCTCCTGAGGAGAACCGTGCCATTTCTCCCCAGTAACCAACAACTTAGTCCCTTTCAGAGAACAACATGTTTTTGGGTGGGGTATAAATAATAAATTGTTGTTGTTGTTGTTCTGTACCACAGATTAATTCTATGGCGTTGGGGTGCAGGAATGCAGTGTCAGTCCCCAAACTCATAGATACATACATACATAATTTTATAGGAATTTCACCTCAGCATAGTTAAAACCATGCTCAAGGCATCTTATATAATTACAAACAAAAGTAGTCATAAACAATAAATAAAACATAAAAAGTACGCAACAAAACTGAACAATTTCTACAAATTGTGGGAAAAGGCCTGCAAGGCAGGGAGCATGTCTTCCAGGATTCACAGCCAAGAGGGCCTCTGGCCTCTTTAGCAGCTGCAGCTGGAGTCAGTCAGGGCCCTGCCCTTCCAGGCCAGGTAGAAAAAGACCTACTTTGACTGCAAGTTGAGGAGCCTGCCTTTTGCATGGACTGTTGAATCTGTTGAACCCACCTCTACACACACATTTGGGGGGGCGGAATGTGGGATTAGCAGCCTCATATAACAAACATGCTTAAATCTAATTAATGCATGAAGGAGTTAATACCATAGAGCAAGCTGTTCAGCTAGGCTTAGCTATGTCACTCCCCTTACCTTAAGAGGAAATGGGTAATCAAGCTTATTGTTGCACTCCTGTCCACCTGAGAAGCTCAGCTGTGTGAGGAGGTTTGAGCTGCTTGGCTCTCATCAGCAATTCTTGAGTTCTTACAGCAATAATTTAGGAACTTTCACCACTTTGTAACTAAGCCAAGTTCTATTGCCTGTGCAACTTTTCCGAAGGACGTGAACCTGACCTTTGAAGCGTTTGTAAGTAAACCATTCTTTTATTTGCCAAACACGTGGTTTTTTCCCCATGCTGAGGGAACTGGGAAACTTTGAAGGAAACCTTTTAAGGGGACATTTTTGCAACTCACTTGGAGGGGCACATATTTTAAAGATCTAACAGCCAATATTTCCACACTTTGCTGCATATTTTGTGACTTTAAATCTATGCTGGGGTTCTGTTACCAGAGAGTACTTGCCCCAGACTTTGTTCTAGGCATCCAGGAATTCTCCTTTATACATACACACATATAACACCAACAAAATATGACCATTTTTCTGTTCTCTGTGTGTGAAATTTCTGACAAATTTATAAGTGGTGGGGGAGTGGTTGCACTCCCCTTAATAATGCTACAATATGACTGTTCCTTCTTACTACATTATTGATGGATTAAGTGCAGAGGCAAGTTTACTGCGGCGATTCTCCTGTACTATATTGGTGAATTTTCCTTCTAAAATCAGTGATGCAACTACAGTCCACTGGGAAATATGAAAGGAAGCCCTATACAGTGGTACGTCGGATTACAGACACTAGAGGTTGCAGACTCTGCTAACCCGGAAGTAGTACCTTGGGTTAAGAACTTTACCTCAGGATGAGAACAGAAATCGCATGCCAGTAGTGCAGCAGCAGTGAGAGGCCCCATTAGCTAAAGTGCTACCTCAGGTTAAGAACAGTTTCACGTTAAGAACGGACCTCTAGAATGAATTAAGTTCTTAACCTGAGGTACCACTGTATATGTAAGGTTTAAATTGGGGGCAGTTTGAAGTGAATATTGATGGCCCAAATTATACTTCTTTTTATCACGGCACAGACTGCAAGAATAATCTTATACCTGCTGCAACAAACACCAAAGGGGATTCTAGAGATTACGCCTGGTCAGGGCTTCAATTTATATCTTATTCAAAAGGTAGCATCTGCTAAAAGTGGTGTGCAAGGGAATTACCACAGAACTGACACAGATGGCAGAGCCTTTCAGCAGCAACTATTCCCTGCAGTGCACAAGGTTACCTTATGAGGCCTCCTACTCAAACTATAGCTAGCTAAAGAATGTGTGGTTTCTGTTAAGATCACAACCTGAGGTGTTACAATTTCAGAATCTTCCTGGTTTTGAAGATACTTGTAAATGATTCACTTCTTATGTTCTGCTCGCAGAGTTTTGATAGCTTTCCTAGCTATCACAAAAATACTCTCTTCTAATATAAAGGTTCTTAAAGTGTGTGAAAGGCGAGCCCTCTCTTTCAGGGGATCACCAGTCTGTCAGTATTTTGGGAGATGGGATTCAGGTGCCTTCCAGAACTTTAGGTTTGCCTATTGAAAAATACGCAAAATAAAAATAAAATAAAATGTTTTGTGGTTTGGAAAGTGATGGGGAAAGGTGTTGAAAAGTATGAGATGCAGGAATGATTGAGAGGAAGGCAAGTAAATACCCCTCAAGCAAATCGGGACGAATGCGAGATGAATGCTCATTGTCATATAACTGCCCGGTAAACAAATCAGAGTGTATGGATATCATCTAATCACTGTGTAAATTTTGTGCAAGCAAAGCAGGATGAATGCTGAATAAGCAGGTCATCCGGAGCAGCCCTCAGTCTCATGTGTGACTAGTTCAAAGTATATTGCATCTACAGCTGTAGATGTCTTCTCTCTCAGTCTAAGGATAACTCAGGCGTGTAAAGGGGAAAGGTGGCGCTGTGGGTTAAACCACAGAGCCTAGGACTTGCCGATCAGAAGGTCGGCGGTTCGAATACCCGCGATGGGGTGAGCTCCCGTTGTTCGGTCCCGGCTCCTGCCAACCTAGCAGTTCGAAAGCACATCAAAGTGCAAGTAGATAAATAGGTACCGCTCCGGTGGGAAGGTAAACGGCGTTTCCGTGCACTGCTCTGGTTCGCCAGAAGCGGCTTAGTCATGCTGGCCACATGACCCGGAAGCTGTACGCCGGCTCCCTTGGCCAATAAAGTGAGATGAGTGCTGCAACCCCAGAGTCGGCCACAACTGGACCTAATGGTCAGGGGTCCTTTTACCCTTTACCTTTTTATAAAACCCCTTAATTGCAGCTATGAGTTGTTTTGCTTGCTGAATGCTGGAGAGCAGTTTGCCCTTTGAGGTATTATTTACATCAGCCATTAGAGGTAAAAATGTGCCAATATCAGATTTTTCTTATATGTGTTTTCCCCAAAACCCTATTATATCAAATGTCTGGCCTATATCTGGAATGAAAGTATTTCTAACAATGTTGACCCATCTGTGAGTGGAACAGGCAGGTGTCATTGTTGCCGTTGGTGCTACACAACTGAAAGAAATATATTTCTGCCTTGAGGAGTTGTGTCCCCAATTAGCTGATTTCAAACTTTTATCCCTAATTTAATTACTGATATAAAATGTTGCCAAGGCTTCAGCTTGAAGTGGGGGATTGGAAAATTTTCATTGGATCTTTGGGGTGAGGGTATTGAAGGCCTTCTTATCCCTTTTCCCTTGGGATAGCTCGTCTCACCTAAAATTTACCCCAAGCCAAGAGGTGGAGAGGAAGTGTATAAGGCAGGCATAGGCAAACTCTGCCCTCCAGATGTTTTGGGACTACAACTCCCATCATCCCTAGCTAACAGGACCAGTTGTCAGGGATGATGGGAGTTGTAGTCCCAAAACATCTGGAGGGCTGAGTTTGCCTCTGCCTGGTATAAGCAATAGGGAAAATAAGAAGGGGTGTGTGTGCTTTGTTCATGATGTCATTCAAATATCCCATTTACTATTCTACGGTGTGGAGGCAGCTAAGCCCCTGTAACATGGATTTTCTGGAAACAATCCAGCCAGAGTTACAGCGTGAAGTCCAGTGTAGCATAAGCAGGCTACAATGGGGCTTCTCCTTCATCAACTCCACCTGCAGCCCAAATGCAGAAGTGGGTAGACATCACTGGATGTGGCCTGTGCATTTTGCAAAATGCCATAGGTTTCAAAATGGAATTGAGCATGTACTGGAAACCAGAATATTTTCTTTTGTCTGGATGGTCTCCTTTTGTATGTTGGAGAGTAATCTCTATCTTGATTGTATGCAATGTCCACAGTAAACAGATAATGATTTCTTCTTTATCCAGAATTATGCCATAATTAAGAGATGGTAGCTTATTGACTGTAGCACACAAAACTGTACGGATCAATTTATAGGCAAGAACTTAATACTATTTATGTGGCTTTTAGGTAACTAGGTTATGTAAAACACTGATTAATAATGAATCATGCCGTTGGATTGGCCCATTCCAGTTCCATAAGCAAGTCAAAACCTTATTATAATGCTTGCCATGTTCCTTAACTAACTCACAATCATTTTTTTTAACGAAAACCAGAGGTACAATAAGGTGCTTGAATTAACATTCACTCCGCAAACTCCATCATGATTCTGCTCACTATAAAGTATTGGATGTGCTGCCTTCTCTTGAATTACTTTATTGCACTTAAATTATCACAGCATTTTCCCTCAGATAATAGCAATTGGAATAACTACCAGGAGTACAATCTGGTAACTATATCCTGCTATTTAAAGTCATTGTCTGTCTCATATGTTTCTTTTAAGTAGGCTGAACTGTATGTGCAATAAAACCAAAATAAATAAAGTAAAACACTCACCTTAAAGAGCAGGTCTGAGAACCGGGGAAATAATTCGGCTTTGCAATCCCACAACCTTCTGAGGTATCCTGTGTGAAAGAATATCCATTGCATGCTGGGGAGAGAAGAACACAGCTTTAGTCAGATAGGGCTACTTCATACTCTAGTGAGAACAAGTTTTTGGATCCCTCATGGTTGTTTTCGTATGTCTGCTTAAGCCTAGTTAATCTCTTTATAATCAGACTTCATCCTACTGAGCAGATAGTTAAAGAGAATGGCATATATCACGGTTGGAATTTTCTTCCCCAGAGGCAGATGTTCTGTGTCACAGTTTATGCAACACAAATGAATGTGCACTCAGAGGATGCAGGTGGTGAAGGAGTGGATATAAGTCATTTTGTATGCACTATTTATGCTTTAAATATCTTCCTTGTCTGACTATCGCAAATCTCTGTATTTATATTGGCTGTCTCAGCTGACTGAACTAATTAAAGAGGGTCTTTATCAAAGCATTCATAGGTATATGTTTGGAGGCAGAGGTAGGGAGGCAGGAGAAATTCATGCAGCTTATATTTTCAAGTGAACTAATATAATTCACAAGTCCTAGAGTATATGTGTATTGGAACACAACTATCAACCTGATTACACACTTCTATGATTTTTGTGGTGGATTTTCTGGTGAAAAGATGTGCATAAAACACAGACGTGTATTTTAGGGAGCGTAAATGTATGTTCCATGTGCACAAATGGAGCGATAATTCCTGTGCCTGATGGAATTACCGTATCTCCCCTTTCTGACCCCCATGTGCTGTTCTGGAGGTTCTCCTGACACCCTCCTGAGTCAATCTGAGAAGGCATGGGAGTCACACAGTGGGAGGAAATCCTTTCATATTTTTTTCAGGAGCCATTCACAGAAAGCCTGCATGTGTGTGAGAGAAATAATGAAGAAATAATAGAGCTGAGAGGGAAGGGTTAACTGGAACATGCAATCAAATCTGAAAAGCACCCGTGTCAGCTAAATGCCACTAGTGTCCAGAAAACAAGTACAGTAGTACCTCTGGTTGCGTACTTAATTCGTTCCAGAGGTCCGTTCTTAACCTGAAGCACCACTTTACCTAATGGGGCCTCCTGCTGCTGCTGCGCCGCCACCACGCGATTTCTGTTCTCATCCTGAAGCAAAGTTCTTAACCCGAGGTACTGTTTCTGGGTTAGCGGAGTCTGTAACCTGAAGCGTATGTAATCTGAAGCGTATCTAACCCAAGGTACCACTGTAGTGCAAAATGTGGCCACTTGCATGATAGCAATTTCAAACGATTGTTTGGAAAGTACATCAGCAGATACCAAGTCTCAAGGGAAGTCAGCCTATCCTTATGTCATGCTGCACTTACTGAGTATTTATTGAACTTCCTCTAGTATTTATTTATCCTGGAGAAAACCCAACCCTGGAGATGAGAAACTTTATATATCATCATGGCTTACATTTTGCTTGGCAGGCCTCTTTAACAGAAAAATGTATGATAGGATACATCTTACTGAAACAACATAAATAGTAACATAAACACAATGCAAATATCAAATAAATTATTGCACTATAACTGCCTGGAAAAACTTACCCAAGTGTTTGCCACAGTGTAGCATTTGTAGTGTGCTTGAGGCAGTTGTTGCAGCCAACCTGGCTTCTCTTGGTACCAGTATAATACAGGTATATGCACTTGTTTTTCCACAATTATTCTTTACATTTTAGAGGCACACCTAAGTTGTTTTTTTAAATCTACACCTTAAAATGCAATATGAAGAGGTCCTTACACCCCTTTTCTTACTAGCCTCATTAGAAAGCAAATCTCATTGGTCTTAATAAACTTACTCCCAAATAGTTGTGCTTACACGTAAAATTACCCAAACAGAAATGGGACGGGTGAGGTGTAAAGGGATGTGGGTCGGACTGGTGCGGGGGAGGGGGTTGTCCAAGGGGTTGATGGCTAGGGGGGGTTGGTGAGCGAAGCCAGCAGGGTTGGCAGCCCCTAATAACAAATAGTTTGTGCAAACTGCTTAGAGGATTTTATTAAACTAAGTGTTGTATAAATCTTCCTAAGGAAATAAAAATAAATTTAGTATTCTGGCCTAGGGAGCTTCAGATAAGCAAGACTGATAAACTGGGAGTTCTTCAAGCAGCTGTGGCTGATTGCAGTGTTCTGGAAGCCTTCCAAGCCTTTCAGATATATGAAGTTGTTCTGAAGTCATTTGCAGTGCTTATCACCACACTTTTGAAGGAACTATGATTAAGAATATAAATATAGTTCATGATAATACTGTTAAGTAATAGAATATTGATTCAATATTTTCATAATTGCTTAGTTCGTAGGAAGTGAGCGGTACAAAGGATATCTGATATTATCCCATTTCTTCTAATAACAACTTGCCCATGGGAGATTCATGTTCAACCTAATGCCCTTAATTTAAAAGTCCACCTTATTAAGACTGCAAGCATTAAGCTATGGCGGCCTGATGTGAACCGTCTCGGGAAACAGATAATGCTAGGACCCAAACTGTGTATTCTTTGCAGCACAGAATGGAAAAGACCAAGTGCACATCCTAAAATCAATAATCACTCTAGAAAGAAATGGAAGATCAAAATCAAATGAGAAAGAATAATGTTCCCTTACACACTCCTGCTATATGAAGTTATTCTGAACATGCTTACTGGTCTCGTGATTAAGAATATAAATATGGCTGCTTTGCATAGTTGCTTCTTAAGAGTTTATTGTCTTAGAGCAAGAATGGGGAACATTTGGTCCACCAGGTGTTGCTGAACTGCATATTCTATCAGCCCTAGCAAGCATGGCCAGTGACCAGAAAAGATGGGGTTGTAGTTTAGCAACATCTAGAAGGTCACAGTTTCCCCACACCTAACTTAGAGTTCACATAAGTCTAACAGTTTACTTAGCTTTGCAGCATAAGGCAGTATGATTCTTACAGCTGTCATTAATGAACCAGCCAAAGCAGTAGCTCTTTCCATGAGAAGGGCTGGCATAAATCAGAAGACTAGACCACAAGGAGAGCATGCTAATCATGTTTGTATTCCACTCTGTATTGCTTTCTCCATCAAATAAGGCCTCTCATCCTTGTTGGTGGCTCCCTACTGCTGTGCAGCTCTCTTGGGTGCCTGCTGAGCAGCAATAAACAGAGTTGTTGTCAACACCTAGTGTTAACCAGCCTAAAAACCTTTATACCTGTCTGCATCTGTACTGGAACTGATTTTTAACTTAAATGTTTGCATTGCTTTTTATATTTGGAATGGTTTTTCATTGTTTTATCTGCAAACCACCCCACCTCTTAATTTAATCATTAAAGGAAGACAACCTCTTCCCTGCTGTTTCTGTTCCCTGTTTGTTTGGAAATGAAGTCTATTGCTTGAAATTGTCTTAAGTCACAAGATTCAGGCTTACCTGTCCTTAATTTTTGTGACCGGAATTATCTTACTTTGGGGTGTTTATCTCATATACCATCTCCATCCAAAACACAGATTTTGCTTTGTTTTTACTTGAAATTCAGCACTTCATGTTTGACATGTATCATATGGGAGGGGTGAATTGGAATACATTTGCTTTTTCCATGGTGGATGTCGCTGCAGGAAGATTTCTTATTCCAAGTGAGAGTGAGCCAGAGTACTTCTGGTGGACAAGGGAGGTCTTGTTTTAACTGACAAGGAGTGATGCCATCTGAGGAAATTCACCCCTTCTTCTTTTTCCTTTTCCTTTTTTGAGAAACCCGCTCACAGCTGTGACATATGCTTACTAAACCCAGTGATATTTCTCCAGTGGAACAGCTATTTTGCTCATGGCAATGCTACTTCTTCGTTCAGCACTGCAAGGCACATCACAGCTGGGTAGTATCCAACAACCATGCTGCCATAAACAGATGGGGAAAGACACCAGCTATACTTGGAACTGATGGCTAAACACTGTTGATAGACAATGTTGGATAAAACCATCACTTATAGAACATTAGAGAGACCAAGCCTGACATTTTATTTAGTAATTCAAAATTTCTACTATAAATTCAGTTGCTTGGGTGTAGCTCTATAGAGTGAATTGTATTTTTGAATGGAGAGTAACACCTGACCCATATTTTATCAGTACTGTAAACTATTAAATGGGACACGGGTGGCGCTGTGGGTTAAACCACAGAGCCTAGGACTTGCCGATCAGAAGGTCGGCGGTTCGAATCCCCGCGACGGGGTGAGCTCCCGTTGCTGGGTCTCTGCTCCTGCCAACCTAGCAGTTCAAAAGCACGTCAAAGTGCAAGTACATAAATAGGTACCTCTCCAGCGGGAAGGTAAACGGTGTTTCCGTGCGCTGCTCTGGTTAGTCAGAAGCGACTTAGTCATGCTGGCCACATGACCCGGAAGCTGTACGCCGGCTCCCTCGGCCAATAAAGCGAGATGAGCGCCACAACCCCAGAGTTGGTCACGACTGGACCTAATGGTCAGGGGTCCCTTTACCTTTAAACTATTAAATGGCTCTGTTCAAATTGAAAATGGCAATATCTAATGACCTAATAAGGGGACGCGGGTGGCGCTGTGGGTAAAACCTCAGTGCCTAGGACTTGCCGATCGCATGGTCGGCGGTTCGAATCCCTGCGGCGGGGTGAGCTCCCGTCTTTCGGTCCCTGCTCCTGCCCACGTAGCAGTTCGAAAGCACCCTTAAGTGCAAGTAGATAAATAGGTACCGCTTTATAGCGGGAAGGTAAACGACGTTTCCGTGTGCTGCGCTGGTGCTGGCTCGCCAGAGCAGCTTCGTCACGCTGGCCACGTGACCCGGAAGTGTCTCCGGACAGCGCTGGCCCCCGGCCTCTTAAGTGAGAATGGCGCACAACCCTAGAGTCGGACACAACTGGCCCGTACGGGCAGGGGTACCTTTACCTTTACCTTTAATGACCTAATGCAAAGCAATATATTTTGGACAGAGCTTCCCTGGTGGAAAGGGTATGCTGCTTGATATTTCACATGAAGCAACATATTATTTTACATATTAACAGAAGCGACATGTTTTCCCCTTGGGAAAAAGGATTGAACTCCTAGGCATTTGTGTTGAAATAAATGGGTTTTAATATACTGGGGAATGAGAGTTGTTGGGTTAAAAAAAAAAGAAAGACATTTAAGATCTCCCCCCCCCCAAAATAGAGTCAAGTTCTGTGCCCACTGCTTAAAAAGAAGTGGTAATGATTAATGAGAAAAGATTTATGAGGGCTAAGTGTTATGAAAGAAAAAAAGGGGCAGCCGACAAAAGCCTGATGCTCTGCAGTCGTGATTTCCAATTATCCACTCACTTTTAATTATTTGTCATCTTTATCTTTTTTTGACTGTTTGTTAAATTCCTCTGTCACTCTGCGCCCTGTACCTTTACACTTTGCCTCTCTTGTTACATAATGCACCACAAAACAGAATATTTGGTAGTTAGCAAGAATAATCATTTATTTTAGTACAGTGTCATGCCAACCTCCATTAGTTAGTAATAATGATTGGCAGTGCAATTTTTCTTGGCAATGAAACCAATTAACATGCACCTCAATGCCTGTAGCTGAAGTATTTCCCTAAAATTCAAACTTGTTCATGCCTGTTTATCGCGAGCCATTAAAAATTTCCATGACCCAGAAACGCAATCCATAACCTGTCCCATTTTAGATGAAAAATAGCAATGAATGGGTGTCAAAATGCATGGTACAAGATCAGCGAAACCTGCAACTGTATTTGCAATGCTCATATGAGAGGGTTTGGGGGGGGGAGACTTTTAATGAATAATCATTTAGAAAGAAATAGTTCTGAGAACCACCTGGCTGGACATTTAATAGCAGCATAATTGTAGCTTCTTCTTTTTTTTAAAATCTTCATTGCATTTTTAAAAATTACAGAAAAAGCATGAAAACATTACATCTAAATATTGAAAAATACAAAATACAAAAAACTGAAAATATAAAAAGAAAAAACTAAAAGGAATAAATAATAAAAAATGAAACAGAATTAGTCAAGTATACAAAATTGTTCAAAGGATGCAAACAGTAATTTGAATATTCTATACGCCAGGTTGAGCTTCGAGGCCCCCCAAGCCCACTCCTGAGAAATAAAGACACAAGGACACAGAGATTAAAGTTAATGTTGGTGGGCGAATTTAGGCCACAACTTTATTGATTACAGAATGTGAGCGCTATTGGCTTAGGCACTGGCAAGCAAGACTATATCTGTCTTCCTGCCTGCTTTGCTGGAAGTCAGGCAAGGGTAAACTCCTGAAGAGGCAGCCCGGCCGCCATGAACCAACTCGAGCACCTCAGGGTTCCCCTGGTCATGGTATGGCCCTAGCCCCTCCGTAGGCTTCGGACAGGACCCAGACCCCTGGATTCCTTTAGCGGCATACCCTAAAGCATGGAAAACTACTTTGAATCCCTGCTCTTTAGTTGACTTCCCTCTATCTCTTTGCAGCTTCAACATTTCACTTAAGTGACAAATATTCTGTATTTCGTTTATTAAAATCAGTTTTTTCCCATTATATCATAATTGTAGCTTCTAATCCAAATACTGCACATCAACAAGAATAGATCTTTTTTATGATTTTTTGAGTACTTTAAGAAAGTCAGTCTCTGGATCTGGAGAAAGACAAATCTTACTCATCAAGCCAGCCTTCAAATCATTCAGCGCTAACATAAAGTCTGTGCCATTTACAGTACAGATTCATTTATCTGTACAGTCTATGTGACATCTGAAACGCTCAGATAATCAAAGGATTGGATCAATGGGAATGTTTTCACAGTGTAATACTGACATGGAGCCACACAGGGGACACAATAAAGTCCAAAGGCTTGGAGCTTCAGACACACACACAAGGAAAAGATTTCAATAAAAGCTTCACCACTAAGGGATAAATTAAAAAAGGGAAAGGAGTAGAAATGTTTATGACTCATGTGAAAGTAATCACATAGGAACATGAACTTAACTTTGGTGGGGTTTTTTGCACAAATGCTAGGCAGGTAGCATGGAATCCCTTTTCTCTAGGCCTGAGACTGTATAATGTTAGGTAGGGAGAAGTGGGTCCATGCCTTCTTCCTTATCCCTTACATTCCCAGAGTTAGCAATTTTGTGTACTTGGAGATTATGTGCTTACATTGCCTGCGTAAGTTCTGTGCATACAGAAACAATGGACAAGTGGAAGCTGTGGAAGGGGAGAGTAGCTGCAATCCCACTTCCCCTCTGATAGCTTTGTAGCCGAAACAAGTCCATCAATGAACTAGAAAAGGAGGATTCTTTAATTTGGGTGCAACCCCAAGTTATGAAGAAATTGAGCACTCAAAAGGGGAGGGCTCTATTTAATATTTGATATCTGTTCAGGCTGTAGTGACTGCTCAGTAGGGTGGATAAAAATTGATGATTTTAAAAAAATAAATCAGATTTTAAAAATTTAAATCGGATTTTTTTTTATTTAAATCGGTTTTTTAATTTAAATTGGATTTTTAAAATAAAATGCTTTTGGAGGAAAAAAAATCTTTCTAAAGATAGTTTTCTACTTAAGTTATGGTACATTATAGTCCAAAGGCCATTAGGAAATAAGGATTTGTTTTAAGTTTTTCATGTGTGCTGAAACGCAGACTAAGGGTTTGTTTTTTAAAAATGTTTAACCACATCAGTTAACAAACATGGATACATATGCTATAATATTATTGTTTTAGTTAAATAAATTGTTTAAATTGTTATTGAGGAAATGATTATTTTTCTCTTTCCAATGAAGTACAGCAAAAAAGTTGTCCAAATATAAACAGTTAACTTATTAAACCTCACAATAATTTCATAATTAATCTGTCTATCAGTAATCTTTGATATAACTGTAAAAACTACTCTGAAAATTTATTATTCCAAAAATGAAACCTTCATCTGGTTGAAAATATTAAGATTATACCAGCAGGAATGCCTTTCTGTTTTTAAAAAAAGAGATTTAAATCAAGTCTTACTGACTAGTGATTTAAATCAATTTGATTTGATTTTGATTTAAATCATATCCACATTGCTGCTCAGCTCCCCTGACCATCAGAATTCTGGCCTCATGCATGGAAGAATGTAACAAGTGAAGAGAAATGAAGAGCCCATGAGATTGTGAGAGGCAAAGTTCAAGAGGGAGAGGAAGCAGAGAAGTTAACAATTGAGGAGGGAGAGGAAGAACCAGCAGCAGAAAAGAGACATGTTGTGAAGGGGCCTGCAGAACTCCTGAACAAAATTATCTTATAAGGATTTTAAAAATGCATTAAGCCTGGGAATGTCAGGCAACTTTTCTTTTTCTTTTTGGAGGTTCTAACAACAACAGCAGCTCACTAGCTGTCATAGCCATAATAGTTAAGTCACATTTTGGGAAAACTGAGCAAGCTGCCCTATCCCATACAGCTTAGAGAAGTACTGAGAACAACGTTTGAGCTTCTGTATTATGTAGATTTCATCGAAGCTATTAAATGCAGCAATCATGAATGCATTACAGTGTTTACTTTCAGAACTTAATCATATAGCACAAATTCGATGTTGTGGATGGTCAATCAGTAGCCTTTAATACCGTTTCTTCTACCTGAATAAATGATTATTCATTAAAGGGACAATGAATAAATAAAGAGCACCAAAGCAAATGTGTCGCTAAAGGGAATGATTTCCTGTGCAATTGTGGAATTTGTACTTTGTTCCCAGAACAATTCTGAACACAAAAATATCTAGTCATGTGAATAAATGAAAAGGAATGAACATGGTCCAGATAATCAGCTGTTTGAAATTGAAGCAACTATTCATAAATAATATTTGGTACAGTGGTACCTCGGGTTACATACGCTTCAGGTTACAGACTCTGCTAACCCAGAAATAGTACCTTGGGTTAAGAACTTTGCTTCAGGATGAGAACAGAAATTGTGCTCTGGCGGCGCGGCAGCAGCAGGAGGCCCCATTAGCTAAAGTGGTGCTTCAGGTTAAGAACAGTTTCAGGTTAAGAACGGACCTCCGGAACGAATTAAGTACTTAACCCGAGGTACCACTGTATAGTAGGGCTGCTGTCCAAATGTATTTGCTACAGTATTTTTGCTGCATTATTGTGTCCTGGGCTCTGTACACACCATGCACTTAAAGCAAATTGCTTTCACCAATGAATCTTGGAAATTGTAGTTTACCCTTTCAGAGCTACAATTCACAGCATCCTTAAACTATAGTTCCCGGGATCATTTGGGAGCTCTCAAGTGCTTTGAACATGCTTTAAGTGTCTGGTTTGTATGCAGCCTTGTTTCTGCTGCGTGCCACTCCATTCCCCATCAATTCTCTGGTTCAGCTGAAGTGACTGTTAGTGCTGCCTCTGAATATGAGCTCTTCTATCAAGCTGTCTGAGCAAGTCTGCTGTCGGAACAAAATGATACTTTTCTGCCAAAAGGCTGGTGCAGCTTAGATGGCATAGGGCTCTGTTTGATTTGTTACCACTTGGTATGGAAGGACCATGGGGAATATCTTCATTTGCCATGGATTGTAGGCCCAGCAAACTAAAACCAGCTTGGGTGGAGCAGAATGGAGCTGATCCATTGAGATAAGTAATGAGGCCAAGAAGTTTGTAGTGTACTCCTCGAGAGCAGAAGTGCTTACATGCAATGGATCTGGTGCAGTGAGTGTGCTACTACAGCTGCACTGTTCCATTCGTTTATTATAAAATAGTACTGCACAATGGAAGGGGCCTGTGAAGGAAACTACATCACAAGCAGACACTTCTAATACATTCTTTTAATTCTAAAGAATTCATGAAGTTTTGTAAGTATTATTATTAGTATTATTATTACAATTAATGACCCACCCTTCAACCTAAGGTTCCGGGGTCGGCTACAACAATTAAAACATAATAACAAAAACAGTTTAAAGCAAATTCCCTAAATAAGGTGGGTCCTAAAAAATATACATCTAAGTGTCAAGAGCCAGCATAAGGAGGAGCATCTTAATCATTTGCCAGAAGCTGCATAATGAGGGACGCTCACAATTCAGGGGCTGCCACATTTCAAGTTTTCAGCACCTGGACCTGGACCTGGAAACCAGTGCAGCTGTTTTAAAATGGGGGTGGTTATATGAGATCTGAAGGGAACTCCAGGCAGTAATCTGGCTGCTGCATTTAGGACTAATTGAAGTTTCTGAGTCATCCTCATGTGTGTTGCTAGCATTTGACTTAGAGACATTAAGCCAAGACAACCTTATAGAAACATTGCAGAAAGAAAATTGGAAAACATGAAAGCCTCATCCCAGCTAGCAGGTGTGTAAGTTTGTGTGTGTGTGTGTGTGTGTGTGTGAGAGAGAGAGAGAGAGAGAGAGAGAGAGAGAGTTTTGTTTTGTTGTTGTTTTTTGCTAATGCAAGTTTTATCTGTCTCTTTGAGGTCTAGTTTACAGAATGCCACATATTTGAGAGTTAAAAGCTTAGACCATGGGTAGGCAAACTAAGGCCCGGAGGCCAGATCTGGCCTAATTGCCTTCTAAATCTGGCCAGCGGATGGTCCGGGAATCAGCGTGTTTTTACATTAATAGAATGTGTCCTTTTATTTTAAATGCATCTCTGGGTTATTTGTGGGGCCTGCCTGGTGTTTTTACATGAGTAGAATGTGTGATTTTATTTAAAATGCATCTCTGGGTTATTTCTGGGGCATAGGAATGTCGTTCATTCCCCCCCCCAATATAGTCCGGCCCCCCACAAGGTCTGATGGACAGTGGACCGGCCCCCCTGCTGAAAAAGTTTGCTGACCCCTGGCTTAGACATTATAACTTGATGCATGAAAGCACGACTGCAGCCATTAATTTTTCGGTCTTTCTATCCTGTCTGCACAATGCGCTGAACAGAATACGCTTCTCACGCAATGCAACGTGCTTCCCTTGCATACACATTTTACTACAAACAAATTGTTAAGTGGAGCTCTGTTGGGGAAAAATTTGCCCTTGGGCACTGCAACAAGTAGACGATAGCGAGGTGGCAGAGAACACCTAATTAATAACTTGTTTTGGGATGGGGTGGGTAAACCTTGCTTTGCTTGACGAGGCAAGGATTTGGTTTCCTTCATGGCATAGGCAGGCAATCTTCAGTAATTTCAGTGATTCTTAAGAGCAGTTGCGCTGACAATGCAGAATCTGACAGTTTATCAGAGCCTTCTGACAACTGACAGTGTAAAATCCTTTATTCGCTATAAGCAGGATGGATGGTTGCTATTTGCTTTGTGTTCTTCTGCACGCCATATGTGATCTTTGTAGCTTGAGATATCTAGCCTGGCTATGTAAGAACAGAGAGATGAGGCTGGCTCCAGGGTTTTACTGCCCGAGGCAACCTGTAAATACCTGGAATGTCTCTAGCCACTTTTCACACTATACAGTAAGATATTCTGCTACCCTCCGCGAATACCTCTTCTTCCCTGTGGGTGTTGCTGATGGATCCAATACTGAAGATTCATATCACCACAGAAAACACGCAACGTCTTGACTGGATGATTGGGGGGGGGAATCATCACTTTGAAGCTATGTTATCTCTTACCATAGTCTCTAAATAAATCACCATGCTCTGGAATAAAGGAAATAAAAAAAAAAAGCTGCAGGATTCCCGATTAAAAGGAATATTCTTTGGCTTCATCTGACACCCAGCACAGATGAAGACTTAAGATGTCTCATTATTTCTAATGCAACAATAGAGCAGAAAACTCAGAAGGGGAGCAACGGCCACTCTGTTTTCTGTAAACCCTCTAAAGCATGGCGGTGATACCTATGCAAATCATTGTCCTAGTTCATCCTCTTTATTGGCAATGTGCAGTTGGGCAAGAGTGCCACAGTTAGGGTGCTGCCACTGAGAAGACCCACTTACACATGCCCAACTCCTTCCAGTCCAGCAATTGCCACCAAGTTGGCTGCTAAAAAATCATGCAGTGCAGAATATTAGCCAAATGAACCCCATCAACATATACATAGGAATTGTCTGTTTGGAATGTCAGGTTGCCATAAAGTCTCCCATTGTTTGACTGATCACATTTATATACTGCCTTTTTGCCAAAGAGGTTTGCAGTTGTAAAGTACTAAAACAAATGATAAAAACGTAAAATTGGCCAGAGGGGGGAGCAGTCCAGTTGGAGCAGGTTCTCTTGCTGACTTTGCCTGTCTACCTTGCTCAACTGAAATATTAAGACAAACCAAAGCATTTTATCATGGACCATTTTTGAAATATACTCAGAGTCGCAAAGTGATTTCATGCTCTTTATTCAGCTCATAGTGGTGAGGAGGAATGAATGAAAGTCCCCTCAAAGTATCTGCTTTATATACATTATTTACACAATGGGCTGCACATGATTGGCTAATTCTGGAATTCTACTGTAAGCCAATCAGGTTGTGGATTCACTTATATCTGGAGCATGATTGGGTGGTTCCTGCCAACCAATCATACTGCTGCATTGTTCTATGACCAATCAGACTGCTGCATTCTGAATCCTATTGTTCTAGGACCAATCAGACTGCTGCAATTTGGATCCTATTGTTCTAGGACCAATCAGACTGCTGCAGTTTGGATCCTATTCAACTCAGTACATAACAATTTTGTATATTTTTCATTGCAACATTTCTAATGGGAATTGTATGCCCTCAGTTGAAATATCATGCTCACTGGATGTGCTGCCAGAGCTCTGTATCAAAGTCTGAGCTCTGTATCAAAGCTTCAAGCTCTGTATCAAAGTCTAGCTGAAATTGTTCCGGGGGGAGGGGGGATGTCATTATTAGAACCTTAAAACAATTAATAACCAAATGCTTTAAAAAATGGGTTTATTTTCTACACTGATGCTCTCTGGCCCTGTAGTCAGATCCCTGATCTCACCAGTTCCTGGAAGATATGACAGCTCTTTCTGTCTTCTTGCTGGAATAATTCAATGCCTAATGGTTCCTTTTAATACATGAAATATAACATCCTATGTTAAGAAAGAGAGAGAGAGAGAGAGGGAGGGAGGGAGGGAGGGAGAGAGAGGGAGAGAGAGAGAGAGAGTATATATGTATATGTATATGTATATGTATATGTATATGTATATGTATATGTATATATGTGTGTGTGTGTGTGTGTGTGTGTGTATATATATGTATGTATATATATTTACTCAACTGTCAACAATAATACATTATTGCTCAACACTGCTGAAAGTATCATGTATGAGTTTTATGTTGACAGGAGGAGAGATCATTTGAAAAGGGGAAGGGAAACAACCTGTTAATAACAGAAAGTAATGGAACATATAGTCAAACCAACACTATGGCTTGTCAGAATCAGTGCTCGCTGCAAGGCCGATTTTGTCAATCATTCATTTTATTGAATGTTAAATATTCAGATGGTGTAACATATGGTGGTTCTTCATTATCTAAATAGGAAAATAGGTCAACAATATTTTAATAGAAATCAATATTGTATGCCCTTGAAAATCCCCAAACACTGAATGGGAATTACAAGACAGCTAAAAAGCACAGAGTAGAAATGTGTAAACGTATTAATTTAATTTGCCTCTTGTGCATGTCATTTAGGGTAATATTCATAAATTTGTAATAATTATGATGTTTGTTTCAGCTGGATATTGTACAAAATTCAGCTAAGATATACACATTTCCCAAGGGCTGTTGGGGATTGTGTATCTTGACTGGTAAATGTGCACAATTCCCTCTTCGTGGAATGATTATTTGCACATTCTTTGTGATGCCTGGTGAATGTGCACAGTGATCAGTAATTATGCCTGTTATCCTCTCAATTTTCATATTGTTTAACAGATATACAGAAACAAAATAGCTCATAACTGTTTAGTCAGGATTCACTGTAGGGGGTGCAAAATCCCATTGTAGTCCAGATGCTGCTATTGCATTCAATAAGAATATAGGGGTTCATCACAGGGATTATGAGGATCTGGAACAGAAAGTGGGTGCTAAATATCCTTGATCCGTATATGACACACTACTCATGCCTCTTTCATTCTCAGTCCACGGCTCTATACACCCATGGCTACACAAATTAGGTTCTAAAATCCATTAGAGTTCAATACTAACTTTGCAGCTTTTAACACTAATAAGGACAACTCAAGATGGTTGTATTTAAATTATGCTTCCTTATATTTAAAAAAAAAATACGGGACATAAAAACAAGATTTTCCTGGTCATTTAAATCCATATGTCATAAGAATGAAAAGAATGAAAGCATATCTTCAATCAGTAGAAGAATCAAGCTTCTAAACAGGAGAAGCAAGACAGCCATTCCAGACTTTGCAGTTAACTCCAGTTATATTTTATAGGAAATTGTATGCAATATTTTTCTTGGACAATGAAAGCTAAGCAGAAGTCATTTGTCTGAACACCCTGTGGTTGCATAAACCAGTAAGGACTCCTGCCAATGACTAGCAGCAAGCGTCAACACACAAGCAGAAATCGAGTTGATACTTTCTTCTCCCCACCCAAAATAAAATTCCAAAGGGCACATCTTGTAGACTGCAAGACAACAGAGAGGAAAACAGATGGCAAAATCATTTGCAGCCTGAGCAGAAGCAGATAAAACGATAAACTGAGGCCAATGGACTTTTCTGCAAACCATCATGCGCTAATCCATCCAAGTTATTAAATAGCTAATTAATTGATCTCGGGCCCATTCTCCTTCCGCAATTGTATAATCAGCGCTTCCTGGCTTACCTTAAAAAGCACCCATTTTGTACTTAGGTGAGTAGAGCTCTTCATTTCTTCTTCCAGACCCTGTGTAGTGGAGCTGAGGACAGACAATCAACTGCTTCGTTAAGTAGTCCCTATTTCACTCACTCTGTTTCTAGGCAGCTCCTATAAAGGCTTCCTCATAGATATTTCTTTTCCTAAACAAATATTTACTTTTTGAGAATTCAGGAAACACATTCTGAATGCAACTCTTCCATGGCTTTTGTGGTCTGTGCCAATGTGTCATTGCATCTGACAGGCTGTCAGTTGTGTTAGTCTTACCACTGTCTCTGAAAGCATTCTTTGCCACAAGCTGTTTGGGGTGGCAAGATATGAAGTCTGTGCAATGGTTTTTCAAGGCCCTTTCTCTGAGTTAGACTTAACAACACAAGGTAGGTTCAGTTGGGCACATTCAATATGCTACTTGATTTCCTCAGCACTAGACTGGCAGCTGAATGTGAGAGCTGGTGCTGTTAAAAGCACTGGGGTATGAGGTGAAGGAATACAAGCACTTTCTCTGTGGTGTTTCATCTGGGATGGCTCATTCAGGCACACAAGCCACTGGATATCAAACAGACATGTAAACCAGTACCCCAAACATCTAGAGAACCACAGATTCACCACCCTTAACTTGCAAAATAACATTTCTTAAAGAAGTCAAACAAGAAAAACAAGTCAGAAAAATAATAAATTAAGAAGATTACATAATGGCTAGGGTCAATGGGTCAAGGGGCAATTAGATTCCCCATGGTTTGGTGGGGGAAACTGGTGAGGCCTGCACTACTTTATCTGAGTGTTCTGTTTTCCGAGGGTGCTTATCATAGCAGCAATGACTTCCCCTCCTTCCTTCCTTATACATTTTAAAAGCTACCACCTGTGAAAGTTGAGGAGGTGGCACCTGAATTTAAAACTAAAGCTGTGGTGCTTGGAGCAAGAATTATGGCAACCTTTCTACCCACAGAATGTGATTCCAGGGACAGAAAAAAGGAAAGGGAGGAAGTAATGAAATCCATCACCTGTCACTGTAACATCACCAAAACTGGGTGAACTATGAAACCTCAGTTCATTTTGGCAGGGGAATCACTCTTCTGGCAAAAAGCAACCACTGAGTAACCATCATTAACAGTAGACTCATCCATGTAGTGTGCTAAAATAATAATGCACCTGGAAAAAATCATGGCAATTTGGTTATTTAAATATTTCCTAATAAAGCATACTGCTTAGTATTCTCAAGAGAACAAATGCTTCTTGGGCATTATGTATGAACAACATCCCCCTTCCCCCACCAAAGAAACCCACAACAAATCACGATCTAAAACTGAAAGAAACATAATATTTTACTGTAGTTATTGTTTAAATGACCTCTTATAGAGAAATTCAAGGGTCATTTTGACGGAAACTTTCAGAGAAAACTGATGTCACCAGAAATCATTTTAATGGAGCCTCATCTTCACATCCTATTGATTTATCTGTGGAGTATGAAGGAAAATCAATATGCAGAATAATCTTCAGTCTTTTAAACATTTATGCAAGCCAAGAAAATACTGTCAAGTGTAGGCAGGAGTCTTTGGCAGGAAAATAATAATAATTGTAATTAGTAGGTTTTAAATCACTTTGTTTTGTTGTGTATCAGTCTCCTAATTCTTATATGCTGTCCATAATTTGTATTTTTAAATGTAACTAATAAGCAGAGAGAAGTGGAAGAAGTGTGACTGATTTTTGCTGATTTTTCTAATTTAATTCAGGTGTTGCTATTATAATTGCAATTAATTAATTAATATACCGCTTAATGCCCAACAATTCCACAAAATGCTTAAAACACAGACTCATTAAAAACAGTCCATAATTAAAATACACAATCCTATTGAAATATGAACAACCATTATTAAAATGTGTAATAATATTGTTTTATTAAAGCAAAACGGGAGGCTTGGGTTAAGATATCACAGGCATGCATGTGTAAGCAGCTTCAAAAGTCAGCAGAATACCAGTACAGATGGGGCCTCCCATATTTCATTAGGGAATACATTCCACAACACCAGTGGCACCAGAGAACAAGCCTGCCTCTCCTTGTCATCATCAGGCTGTGATGAACTAACTGGGTTCTATTTGTTGAGCTTAATGCCCCTACTGAACAACTGAGGGGAAGTATGTCTTTCTTATAACCTGGTCTACCAGTGTTAAAAATGTGGCTTGTAGAGCTCTCCTACTGGGAGAAATGATAGTTTCAGGTGGTGCTGGTGGGAGTTATGAGTATGGGATGATGGAGGGCAGCATAGAAGACGCAGATAGCCTCAAGCGTTGGAGTGGGGAGAGGCATATCATCTCCTACATCTTCTCGTGCCAGCACCGAGGGATGGTATATACAGTACCATTTACTCGAGTAAATATGGTAAACCATCACAAGGATTAAGCCAAATGAAGAAAATGTCCAACAAGAAAGAAGTTGCTTGATTGGTGGACTGGTCATGTAGTTCACAATCATCAATCAGTTTCATCAAGAATTAGCTGTTGATTAAATAACTTCTGCCCATGATGCACCAACAGTGCAATTGGCTTTATATAGGTAGTTTCAAACCAAATACACATTTCATCATGATTCAGGGGTTAGCATTAAATAGCTATCTTCTGTATAGAGATCAAACCAATTTTAATATTACACCACTGCACAGTGTAGCAAATATAAATTTCTCTGGAAGCATTTTCGAAAAGCTAAGATGATATTATTTCACTTCAAGGACTGAGGTTCACATATTCCTCTCTGCTAGTTATCCTACGTAACCTTAGATATGTCCTCAGGTTGCTCATGTTATTCCACAGGAAGTAGGTGGCCTGCCACATTTTCCCACTCCAGCCTTTCCTCATGGTCAGAACTTGTTCTGAAGGCAGATGGAAAGGAAAATATTGAAGGAAATACATTTTACACATACATATATGAAATAGTGTTAACTTTTGGTGCCTCTGATCTTCAAGGTAATAAAATGGGTGACGTGGGAAACAAATGGCAGGTTTTTCTCTGTTCTCCATGTCTAGTGCGCCAAAGTTCAATTACTCTCATCTGGCAGATGAAACAGCTTGCTAATTTCAAATTAGAATTTCAACATGAAGGACAGAGATTCCTCGAGGCTTCCCAAACTATATTGCTATTAAATTCCAATCTCCCTGCAGCTTCTAATCTTTGAAAATCTAATCATGCTTTCTGCTGGTATTATATTGTCACATCAAAGAAATCATTGTTGCTACCACCATTTCAGGTGTGCAGTCTTAAACACTTGAAACTTAAGTTTAGGATTCTTTCAGTGGGCAATCTGATTTCTACATTCAAGCAAATGCTCTTCCTGTGGCCGCATCTTTCCCATCATATGAACCAAGGAAAAACCATGGGGATGAGGTTCCCCCTCACATCCAGAAAATTGTATTAACTGATCATAGAAGCCTGCCTTGTAGCACCAGGGGTAGACTCTTCCTGTGGGTGGAAACTCTGGACTTTCAGGAGAACATTGTTCCATCCAAGAACATTGTTTCACCCAAGGATAACGTTGACAGCAGAGGGCAGGACTTGCTAGGGACTTCATAGGAAGGTATGTAGGCATGGCAGGGAGTGATTGTTAATCATATGTAGTGAATGCTTGACAAGGATTATAGCCATTGTACCACAGCAAGGAAGACTAGTAGTCTATCCTCATGCTCTGACATCAGAGGGGTGAGTCTTGAGGAATGTCCTGCTCTACCTGAAAGCTCATCTGTCAGGAAGACGTCTGTTCCTCTGGGAAAGCATGGGTTGATCCATGTTTCCTTCAGCTTGCCATCAGTCAAAGTGAATGTGCTGATAGTTTAGCTGTGGCTGCAAAGCTGAAAGTAAGCCTACATTGAATTCACTGAGAGCTGCACTCCTTTTGTTGGATTTAAGATACAGACAATCATCATTCATTTTCAAGCCTTTTTCTTACTTCAAAACAGAGCAATCATACCTCCCTGCTTCTGTTTTAAAGGCAGACATATTCAAAGGATCCTTAGGCAAAGACTGGAGAGGGAATTCAAATGACGTGTCAAGTTGCAATTGATAGTATTTGATGATAAATTACCATATAATCTTAAATGATAGTGATAAATTGGATTTAACAACATAAAATTATAGTCAAATTCTTTTTTGCAGATAATTCACATGACAAAGGATAATAACTAGAAGAGACCTTTTATAGCAAGCTGCCACATCCATCACTTTGACCATTATTCTTGGCAAGGGAAGCACAGAACATTTTTGCTTCGAAATACTGTTGAAACACTGGACATCTTTCTTGAGTTGGATAGGATACTGATTTTCATATATAATTTTGAAGTGGAATGAGCTCGGCTTCCTTTGCCCATTTGCATCAATGTAGTTATCTCCGAACTACAATCTCAGAGATAGGGAACCTGTGCCCCTCCAGATGTTGTTAGACTTCAGCTCCCATAATCTCTGGCCATTGGCCATGCTGGCTAGATATGATGGGAGTTGGAATCTAATAGCATTTGGAGGTCCACAGGTATGCCACAGCTGCTCTAGCTGGTTTACAGTGTCTAATTCAGACATGGCCAAACTTGGCCCTCCAGCTGTTTTGGGACTAAAACTCCCATAATCCCTAGCTGACAGGAACAGTGGTCAGGGATGATGGGAACTGTATGCCTGGTCTAATTGAACCATGAGCACCCCATATGTATTGGGCGTGTTCAGTTCTCCTGAAACACACCTCTCTACTTGAGAGGCTGTCAGAGTTGAAGAAGGTACTCCCACAAGAAAGCATCACATGAAGAAAGAAAAGAGAGGTTATGGAGAGGAGGGTGAATTTCCCTTTCCTTTTCAATTTGCAAGAATGTTACAGTAGAGAGAGACAACCCTTGTATTTTAGGAAGGATACAAATATTGTGAATGAATTAATTGGTATTGTGTTACCATTAGCAGCCCACCAAACATTTAGCAGGCGTGTAAGATATCAGATGTTTCAAAGAGCCGTTGTGATGTGATACACTGACTAGAATGTGTGGCTTTGACTGAGGGGATCAGCGTTTAAAGCCACAAACTTATCCAGATAGCCAGTCTTGCTAAACTA